GTGTGTGGTGAGGAGAGGCAGAGGGAGAGGGAGAAGCGGGTTTCCCGCTGAGCAGGGAGCCCAATGTGGAGCTTGATCCCAGGACCCCGGGATCATGACCCGAGCAGAAGGCAGACCCTTAACTAAGCCACCCAGGTGCCCCTGAGGTAATTTTTCTTTCTGGAGTCCATCCTCAACAAAGTATCTTAAACCCAGTTTTTGTGTATCTGGAAACCACTTTCTTTATTTCATTCTCATTCCTGAAAGATAATTTTGCTGGGGACTCAATTCTATGTTGATGGTTATTTTCTGAAGATATGAATCTGTTGTCTTTTTTTTTTAATGTAAGTTCTCTGCCCAACATGGGGCTTGAACTCATGACCCTGAGCTCAAGAGTCTCATACTCTACCCAGTGAGCTAGCCAGGCACCCCAATCCATTATCTTTTCTACTTCCATTGTTCTGTTGAGGAATTTGTTGTCAGCTTAAATGTCTTTTCTTTGTAGATAATTGCAAAGACCCAGGATCTAACCCAACTCTACCACTTACTTGTTATGTCACCTTGGCATGTCACTTTGATTCCCTAGGTCTCAGTTCCTCATTGGCCAAATGGATACAATAACACCGACCTCACAGCTTTGTGGTGAACATTATCCCAGAAAATATATATGAAAACATTATATAAATGCTTATTATTATTTACTCTTGCCTGGCTAGTCTCTCCATTATCTTATCATCTTGTTCACTTCCTCCTACCACTGGAAGTAGTGAGAATGAGGTGAATGGATCAGAGGCAGCATTTCACAGCAAAGTTAGAAATGAAGAAGGCCAAAGATCCTGAGAAGGTTAAGTTTCTACAGTAGGATCTAAGATGTCAAATAGGAGTAGAGCTTTACTATTCCATCCCTACTGAAACTGCCTTGCTTCATCTTGCTATCTCTTGGGGCGCCTGGCTGGCTCAGTTGGTTAAACTTCTGACTCTTGATTTGGCTCAGGTCATGATCTCAGGGTTGAGGGATCGAGCTCCTGCAATGGGCGCAGCTCGGGCTCCACACTCAGTGGGGAGTCGGCTTGGAATTCTCTCTCTCTCTCTCCTTCTGTCCCTCCCCCTGCTCCTGTGCTTACACACACACACACACACACACACACACATACACACACACACTCTCTCTTTCTCCAATAAATCTTTAAAAAAAACCCCAAAACCCACCTTTCTTTTAAAAAAAATTCTGACTATCTGTTGCCTAGATTATTACACCATTGTCATTTTTCTCTTCAGGCTCTTAGCCCTATTTACCCTCCACATATTGTCAAAGTCAACATTCTAAAATGCAAATATGACTACCTCCCTAATTAATGTCTTATGGCTAATCCCTGATATCGCAGTGTCCCAGATTTGGTTAAATATTTAGAGTATATGTTCCCAGAACCTATCTGTCACAAAAGTGGCAGGACAATCTTTTGGGATTAGTTATAGTAGAACAATCTCTTAGGATTAGGAAACAATGGTATTTACATCAGATCACCCAGGTTCATATTCCAATCTTCTAGTTAACAACTCTGTGGACTTGCAGCAATTTTTTTAACATACGCAGTTGTAAAACAGGTAAAAATAGTAAGTACTTCAACAGGTTGTGAATGCATGCAGTGCATGGCAGTCAAGTAAATGCCCAATAAATGTTGTCTGTTATTGTGGTTTAAAATATTCTAATTTCTTTGCCCTCCTACTTAACTGTAAGATTAGTATATGTTAAATATGATTTATATTCCATTGAGAATAACGTTGTAATTGATTATTTCTCAGTGTCTCAAATATACCTCCAGTAAGTTCATGCTAGAAGCTGCCTTACTCTTCTTTGCTTACCTAGAGGCTTGCATATTATGGGATACTCAGTTATTGTAGGAATTGAGCCACAAGCAGGATCAAGAAGCTGACTGTTGTTTATGCCACGGTCTGAGGTGAATGATGTTAGTTGCACTGTCATGAACTCGCCCTCGCTCTTGGACAAGGTGACATAACTGGTTTTTTAGAACATTATATTACTGCTTCTAATTCTGCCGTTTCCCACCCATCCCCAAATAAAGCATGTTTCAGAAGAGAAAAAGAATACTATTAGTACTACTACTACTACTACTACTACAGACACACACACACCCTTGTGAGCAATGACGGGCTCACAGGTATCAAGGGACAGTCTGCAGAAGAGGAAAACCCGACCAGAGAGAAAGTGGTCGGTGCATTGTAGGATCCAGACCTTTCTTCCATCCTCAGCTCTAAAAGTCTTCAGCCCTGGATACAGCAGGATCCTTGAGAAAAAGAGATAAACACAGATGTTTGCAGAAACCTGAGAGACAACTGGAGAATCCGGTTTGAGTTGAAACGTAGGCTTTCTTCAATCTGCGTGTTTTGCGGTGCTCCGTGCTGGTGTCTTCAAGCCGCACATTTAGTACAGTCCCCGAGGATGCCTCCCAGGCCTCCGCCACGTCCCCCGGAGAGCGTCGGATTTGAGGAAATTTTCTCGGCACCGCCTCTTTAAGCACCGCGTGGCGCGCACGCGCACTGCCGCTAGGCGGGGCGATCCGGGTTCCCGGCGCTGAGCGTTGGGGTTTGCTTCAGCTGCATCCGGTTTTCCGGGAGCCGGCGCTGCTTTCGTGCTTCCGCCAGACCCCGCGGACTTCAGCGGGGACGGAGGTTTCGGAGCTGCGGGGCGGGAGCGAGCGTCTCTTCTTCCTCCCATTCCGGCAGAGGCTTTGTCGCCGCGGGCCGGACCCCAGGGCGCCCCCGATGGCGGGGCAGCGGGTGGAGGTGGACGGCGGGATCATGGAAGGGGTGAGTGCGGGGCCCGGGACAGGGCCGGTGGCGCTGGGAGCACCGACTGGGGAGCGTCCCTGTCTGATGATGTTCTCTCTCCTCTCCCACCCACACCCTTGGCAGGGCGGCCAGATCCTGAGGGTGTCTACAGCCCTGAGCTGTCTCCTGGGCCTCCCCTTGCGGGTACAGAAGATCCGAGCCGGCCGCAGCACGCCAGGCCTGAGGTGAATCGGGGCGCTGGGGGGCGGGGCCGCGGGACTGGAGGATGCGGGTGGGCCGGCGCCGGGCTGGGGGACGGGCGGTGGGGTTGGAGGGGGGGCGGACTGTGGTGCTCGGGCCTGGGGTTTGGGTCGCCCTGTGTGGTTGGGGAATTGGGAGCTCGGGGGTGATGCTTGTAAGATCCAGCCCCACAGTTGAGGAATCTGAAAAGCCGGCCCCCAGGGCCCCGGGGGACCATGCATCGGCTCGGGCGGCTAGCGGTAGCTGGGGGCTAGGCGATCTTGAAAGCCACAAGGGGCAAGTTGAGAAAATAGGCCCACGTTTATTCTATATAGCTAGAGTTCTCTAGCTTCCTGATGAGTTGTCTTTTAAGATGTTTTCTCAAGTCATTGGGCATTTCAAGTATCTGGAGAGGTTGCAGCAGCGGGCAAGATGGATCAGGGCAGAGCAGCAGTTAGGGCCAGAGGAAACCCCACTTTTTAACCAGTGTGTTCTCTGGTGCTGCACATTTTAGAATCATAGCTCAGGAAAGGACCCTGAGATGTGTCGTTCTAGCTTTCATTCAGACCTCAAAGAAGTTATGAGTATAATCAGAATTATCAGTTGTGGACAGGGAAAAACGTTGACCCTTGACCTTGTTTCCTTCTGTCTGGGAAGCTAGGTTTGTCACTAGCTAAGTTTCAGGTATATGCACCTGTTAGAAGGGGACCCAGGTTGAAGCCAAACTGATTCCTTTGGACGTTTTACTAGATCAGCAGTCTCTTAGTCTTTTATTTTATTCACATTCCATTTTGAAATTATTAAAAGGCAATTATTGATGTGTGTGAACATTAATTACCTTAGTCACAGCACTTGTTTGCAGCAATCAGTTTCACCAATAGGAAAATCCAGTTCATTAAGGCTGTGTTAGGTACTTCATTAGTTTGCTAGAGCTGCCATAATGAAATACCACAGACTGGGTGGCCAAAACAACAGAAATTTGTTTTTCTCACTGTTCTGAAGCCTGCAGGTCCAAGATCAAGGTGCTGGCAGGGTTGGTTTCCTCTGAGGGCCATATGGGAAGATTCTTTCCCAGTCTCTCTCCTTGGCTTGGAGATGGCCTCACTCTTGCTGCCTCTTCACATGGTCATCCTTACGTGCATGTGTACCCCTGATGTCTCTGTATGTCCTAATCTCCTCTTTTTATAAAGATACCACAGAGAATCCCATAGTCAAGAGTCCCATGCTCTACTGACTGAGCCAGCCAGCCATCCCCTATCTCTTTTTAACCTAATCACCTCTTTAAAGGCCCTAATGCCAAACATTACTAGGTACTAGGGGTTAGGGCTTCAACATAAGAATTTTGGAGGAACGCAATTCAGCCCATAACAGGTTCCATAGATTATTCAATGACATGCAAGTGAGATTGGTGGCCCTGGGATAGTTTTTCAGTTTTCCTCTTTGCATACTTCTCGTTTGCAACAATGCATCCATGTATGTGCTTTTAGCTAAAGTAAGTGATTTGGAAGGAACCAAATGATGCCTTCAAGCGGGTAGTCTAGGTACATAAAAACCCAAAAGAAGCTCTGACACTGAAGATATAGCACTTGGTGTGGTTAGACCTTGCTCTTTTCTTGCCATTGCAGTTTTATAAATGGGTCATAAAATGTGGGGCTATAGGCAGTCTGAATGCACACATTTTGATGCAGTATTATGACCTGAAGGCCTCAACATTTATCTGGACTGGAAATGATTCGAGATTTGTGTGATGGGCAACTGGAGGGGGCAGAAATCGGCTCAACAGAAATAATGTTTACACCAGAGAAGATTAAAGGTGGAATCCATACAGCAGATACCAAGACAGCAGGGTATGTGTCACTTACATTCCATTTAAGTATGGGCTTTAGAGTTAGACCTGGATTTGGGTGCAGGTACTACCTACTATTACTAGACAAGTTGCTTAACCTCTTTGGGCTTTAGTTTCCTCACTTTTAAAATGGAGATAAAACACTAGCCTTTCAGGGATAGAGATTTTGTAGTTTGGGGTACCTAATTGCTTATTAATTGTAGCTACTAAATCTAGAATTTTCTTTTGTGTATAGTATAGCCTATTTGTTTCTTTTTATTATTTAGAAACTGAATATTGGAAAATGACTAAGTTTTTATGCCCTGTGGTAAGAGTAGTTTTTTGCATTGTATGTAGCATATTTAGTTCTTGGGCTTGCAGCTAATTATGGACCATATTCTACTTTTAGTCTAGTCTAGGTATTTTTGTTGTCTTTTAATAGATTCTTATGCTATCCTGTTTAGAAATGTTTAGATATATGGGGCGCCTGGGTGGCTCAGTCGTTAAGCGTCTGCCTTTGGCTCAGGTCATCATCCTGGGGTCCTGGGATCGAGCCCTGCATCGGGCTCCCTGCTCAGCGGGAAGCCTGCTTCTCTCTTTCCCACTCCTCCTGCTTGTGTTCCCTCTCTCGCTGTCTCTCTCTGTCAAATAAAAAAAATCTTAAAAAAAAAAAAAAGAGGGTGCCTGGGTTGCTCAGTCGGTTAAGCATCTGCCTTTGGCTCAGGTCATGATCCCAGGGTCCTGGGATTGAGTCTGGCATCGGGCTCCCTGCTCAGTGGGGAGTCTGCTTCTCCCTCTCCCTCTGCCTCTCCCCCCAGTTTGTGCTCTCTCTCTCACTCACTCTCTCTTTCAAATAAATAAAATCCTTAAAAAAAAAAAAAAAAGAAATGTTTAGATATGATCTTGGGTTCCCCCCCTTTGGAAAATGGATATTTAACAATTAAATTCAGTCTTTATCCTTTTCCAAGAATTCCTCCTTTTATTGATAATACACAGAGAGCATGTTTTGTGTTTTCTGGGTTATTTGGCTGATTGCTATTGTAAACCATATCATTTTACTAAAATCCTATCTTTACTGGGAAATTTGATAAAATAAGAAATAGTAATGTAAACCTGATTCCAGTTTGTTTCAGAAACTGTTTTAATTGATTTTGATTATTATTTTAGTTTATGAAAATGTTCAGTGGGCACCTGGGTGGTTTAGTTGGTTAAGCGTCTGCCTTCGGCTCAGGTCATGATCCCAGGGTCCTGGGATTGAGCCCCGCGTCAGGCTCCCTGCTCGGCCGGGAGCCTGCTTCTCCCCTGCCCTTCCCCCCTCCCCAGTCATGCTCTCTCTCTCGCTCTGCTCTTTCTCGCTGTGCTCTCTCTCTCAAATAAATAAAATCTTAAAAAAAAAGAAAATGTTTAGTGATAATTGAGACTTGAGTGATGCTGTGAATAGACCTCTGTGAAAAGGGACCTGCTCAGGCCTAAGGTGAGGTTTGCCAAGTGAGAACTTTCTAAGGGGAGTAAGGAATTTTGAGGTATCTTTCTTTATAGTCAGCATAGTATTTTGGGTATTCTCCTGTAAAGAAAGGGAGGAAAGTTATAGTCAACCAACTATCTAAAAATTAAAGCAAAATTACAGAATTTTGAAGCTGCAAGAGGGAAAGTAGAAACCATGTATTTCCAATCCTTCCTCCACTTTGTGAATGTGAGAATAAAGGGCCTCTGGTGTGATTTACTCAACGTCATGGAGTCAGGGAGAGAACTAGATTAGAATGTAGGCCTTCTGGCTTCTAACCCACTAGACTATATGGGAAATGAGTTTAAAGTTGTGAATACAACTCCATTCAGGAGACTAAACCAAGCTTTTTCCTAGCAAGAGAACATCTTATTTGTTCACATTCTAACATTTTTATCCTTCACTGTGATTACAGTACCATGTGTTTTCTCAGGTGTCTACCTTTGTTTTCGCAATTTCTTATCTCCTAAAATTAAGGTTTTCTTTTTTTTTTTTTAAGATTATTTATTTATTTAAGAGATGGAGAGAGAGCAAGAGTGTGTGGTGAGGAGAGGCAGAGAGAGAGGGAGAGGCAGACTCCCCACTGAGCAGGGAGCCCAACACTGGGCTCGATCCCAGGATCATGACCTGAGCCAAAGGCAGATGCTTAACCAACTGAGCCACCCAGGCGTCCCTCAGGTTTTCTTTACTATTCTTAGAATCTGATTTTATCTGTGGAGAGGGGAGAACACTTTAAATGTTGGGGTCCTCAGAGGGAATAAACACAGAGAAATTAAGTAGTGTTAACCTTATGGTTTACTGTAAACTAAACATTTCCAAGTTTTTTCACTTGCTTCTCACTTGTTTAACTCCTTAAGAACAGGGATTATATTCTATGTGTTTTCTCTTATAATACCTAACATGTTAGGCAGTCAGTAAATGTTTACTAAATTAATGAAATGCATTATCAGTGACAGAGACTGTTTATTTCAGTACATATACATTGTTACCATGAGAAAGTTAAGTGAAGGTCTGTCTTTTGGTATTAGAGGCTATGTCTAATGTATACCACAATCTGTGTATGAATGTGACAGCTCGTTTAGAAAATCTGGCCAAGTGTTTCATTTTTTAAAATACTTCATATTCTAGAATTATTTCTCATGATTTCTCACGTTATTTTACTATAATGACCAAACAGAGGTGAGTTACAGCAAGGATTATTTCCTTTAAACTTATTTCCATGTAAAATATTCAGCTGTCAGTCTTTGTAAAATATTATTCTATCATATCATAAACTCCACAGTGGTAGGCACTGTATCTTGTTATCTGGAACAATGCCTTGTGCATGGTAGAGATTCAGATGTAATTATTTAAGTATTTCTAAACCCTCACTTTTGTGTGTGTAACTATCTGTCATTGTAGAAAAGTTACTACAATTTAATTGACTCTATTTCCTGTGCTGTATTTTTAGACTTTAACTGTATTAAATGAATTTTCATAAATTGCACTTTCAGGAATCCCTTTATAAAAACATTATAACAATAGTTTTATTTTAAAAAAATTCTTTTTTTACTTCTTTTAAGTTAAAGAAAGATCACACAACTAATGAGTTGGATTCAAACCCAGATTTGCTGATCATTTAAGGCCAATTCCTTCTACTGTGAAATACTGTCTTTCTTTAAGATTCAGGATTTTCTTAGTTACTGAGGTGTTTTGTTTTGTTTTATATTTTGTTTTGTTTTGTTTTTTAAAGTAAGCTCTAGGGATGCCTGGGTGGCTCAGTCGGTTAATCATCTGCCTTTGGCTCAGGTCATGATCCCAGGGTCCTGGGATCAAGTCCCACATCGACCTCCTTGCTTAGCAGGGAGCCTGCTTCTCCCTCTGCCTTCCGCTCCCCCTGCTTGTGCTCTCTCTCTGGCAAATAAGTAAAATCTTAAAAAAATAATAAAGTAAGCTCTACGCCCAGTGTGGGACTCGGAACTCATGACCCTGAGATCAAGAGTTGCACGCTCTACTGACTGAGCCAGCCAGGTGTGCCCCCTCTTTTTTAATGGGGTATTTTTTTAACTTGAGACTTGACGGTATATACCTTTCTTCCCAGTTGTCTGTGCCCCAGCTAATGGTGATGTGTAGTAATACCACGTTCTTGAGACTTTAGAAAGAAAATGCAGCTAACCCTGCTTTGCCTTTTCCTTAGGAGTGTGTGCCTCTTGATGCAGGTCTCAATGCCCTGTGTTCTCTTTGCTGCTTCTGCATCAGAACTTCGTTTAAAAGGCGGAACTAATGCTGAAATGGCACCGCAGATTGATTACACAACCATGGTAAGTGCTTCTGTTGTTGATGAACTAAGATGATCTCGTATATTCTTCTGAATCTCCATTCTCTATTCAGTATATCCTGAGTGGTTCATGTGCATGCCTGTTTATTTCTTCATGGTGTCTAGTTGTGTTGCGGGAGAGGGTAAGGGATTGTGTTTACTTTAGATTTTGTGTTGTATCTTGGAACAGTGTTGATAGTGAATTCTTTTAAAACTTCAAGTGTATTGTTACATGAATTATATTACTTATATAAACCAGTCATTTTATAAATACAGGAATTATGATTTGGAAGAAAAAACTCAAAAGAGTTAAACACTGTGCTTGACAAGAGTTGGTAAGGATGTTGAGAAGTGGAACCCTTGCACACTACTAGTGGGAATGCAAAATGGTGCAGCCGCTAAGGAAGACAGTGTGAAGGTTCCTCAAAGAATTAAAAACAAAACTACCATATCATCCAGAAATCCCACTTTTGAGTATTTATCCAAAAGGATTAAAATCAGGATCTTGACGAGAGATTAGCATTCCCATGTTCATTGCAGCACTATTCATAATAGCCAAGATGAGAAAGCAACCTAAATGTCTGTTGATGGATGAATGGATAAAGAAAATGTAGCATATACATAGAGTGGAATACTGTTCAACCTTAAAAAAATTAAAGAATATGTGACCACATGAATGAACCTCAAGGACATTGTGCTAAGTGAAATAACCAGTCACATGAAGACAAATACTGTCATGATTCCACTTGTATGAGGTACCTAAAGTAATCAAATTCATAGACTCAAAGAGTGGAATGGGGTAGAGGGAAGGGGGAAATGGGGAGTTAGTAATCAACAGGCATAACATTTCAGTTAGGCAAGATGAATGTGTTCTAGAGATCTGTACAACATTTACCTATAGTCAACAGTAATATATTATACACTTAAAAATTTGTTAAGAGGGTAGATCTCATGTTAAGTGTTCTTACCTCAATAAGATAAAATTTAAAAAAATTAAGTACCGTATTTTGACTATAAATTTTGAAAATGATAAAACTTAGTATACTTATACAGTTAGTAGGAGAGAAAAGTGGTATTTTTTTCCCTCCACGTTTATTGAGGTGTAATTATAGTAAAGCACACCTTTTTAGGGTATAATTCTGTGATTTTTTTTTTTTTTTAAGATTTTATTTATTTGTCAGGGAGAGAGCACAAGCAGAGGAAGGGGCAGGCAGAGGGAGAAGCAGGCTTCCCGCTGAGCAGGGAGCCCGATGCAGGATTCGATCCCCAGGACCCTGGGATCATGACCTGGGCCGAAGGCAGACCCTTAACCGACTGAGCCACCCCAATTCTTTGATTTTTGACATATGGTTGTTAACCAGCCACCACAATCAAGATACAGAATTACTGTAAAAAATTCCCTCATATTCCTTTGTTATCAGTCCCACACCCCAGCCCCTGGCAACTACTGATCTGTATTGTATCATAGTTTTGCCTTTTTTTCAGAATGCCATATAAAGGAATAATACTGTATGTGGCCTTTTGAGCCTGTTTGTTTTTTCACTTACCATAATATGTTTGAGATTCATCCCTGTGACTTGTTTTAGCAATAAAAGCTAAGTAGTCCCTATTACATGGATGTCCCAGTTTGTTTAGCCATTCATCCATCTGTTGAAGGACCTTTGGGTTGTTTCCAGTTTTTGACAATATGAAAATGTCACTGAAAAGATATATGTACCAATTTTTTATGTGAACATAATTTTTCATTTCTTTTGGGTAAGTACCAAGGAGAGGGATTGCTTGTAATAGTAAGTCTATATCTAACTTTATGACAAGCTGCCAAATTGTTTGGGTATCCAAAGTGGCTGCATTCTTTCGCATTTTCACTAGCACTGTATAAGAGTTTCAGCTATTCTGCATCTCCCCAGGCCTTGATATTTAAGTTTTTTGCCATTTTAATACATGGTATAATTTTTTTTTTTTAGAGGGAGAGTGCAGCGGCATGGGGAGGGGCAGAGGGAGAGAATCTTAAGCAGGTTCCACACCCAGCATGGAGCTTGACGCTGGTCTTGATCTCATGACCCCCAGATTATGACCTGAGCCCAAATCAAGAGTTGGATGCTCAACTGACTGAGCCACCGAGGTGCCCCTAGATGGTACAGTCTTTTAAATTTTAGTTTGATAGGATGTGTAATGAAAGTTAATCTCTCCTCACCTAATAATTCAATTTCAAGGAAATGACCCTAATTAAATATTACAGACTGCAGCAAAAGATAAATGTTAAAGATATTTGAGCAGAGCATTATATACTATAATAATAATTATATAACATACATAATTATGTAATATTGAAAACTCAGGGAATGGTTAAATAAATTTGCTAGAATGCCATGCAGTTATTTAAATATTCTTTAGGAAGAATTTTATGGTATCAGGAAAATGCTTTTGTTTATAATGTTAAATGGAAAATGAGGATAAACGTATACGCAGGGAGATTTCAATGTATAGAAGAATTGAGAAGGCAGGGCCTGGGTGGGTCAGCTAGTTGAGCGTCCGATCATGATCTCAGGGTCGTGGAATCAAGCCCCGTGTTGGGCTCCTTGCTGGGCATGGAGCCTGCTTGGGATTCCCTCTCTCTCTCTGCCCCTCCGCCGCTTGTTCTTTCTCTCTCTCAAATAAATAAATAAATAAATCTTTTAAAAAAATTGAGATGGCAGAATGGAATGCTGTTCACCAATATCCCCTAATTTCTTATGCATTATATAGTGAAGGGTTAGGAAATACTGTCCTATGGAGTAAAATAACCAGTGGGATCAAGTATCCTGAGTTCTGACATTTTTTTCATTAGACTGGCACAGCCCTGATTAATTAAATATTAAATTTTTAATTTTGGTTTACATATCAGTTATTTTACTTGAAAAATAGAACTAGCCTACCCATTTTTATATCAATATTTATCCATAGTGCCTTCTTGCTAGCTCAGTGCAGAGCACTTTTGTTTAATAAATATACTTGTTGAATCAGTGAATATTTGTGGTTAAAGTAACAATAAACTGATTTTTCAGGTTTTCAAGCCAATTGTGGAAAAATTTGGTTTCAAATTTAATTGTGACATTAAAATGAGGTAAGTTACTTATTTGTTAGCCCTTTGACCCACTATTTGTACTTAGAGTAGTGGGAAAGTTAGACCTTAGAGAATTATTCTGCAACCCACTACTTCTCGTAGTAATTAGGAAATACTTGTAGGAAATACAGTTTATAGGAAATAATTATGCTTTGTGTGGCTTAAAAACAGTAAGCAGCAGGGGCATGGGGACTTGAAAGCACCTACATATGGTATTTGCTTGTTTCTAGGGGGAAATATTTTCAAGGGAATTGCTACCCTGAGGGACCTTCCATCTAGTATTATCCATGCTCAGCACAGATTGAGTACTTTCTGTGTGCAGACAACTGGACTAGGCATGGCAGGGTCATAAAAGGGATTCTCTTCCACAGTGCAATCAATTATTTTCCAAAGAAACACATTAGGCATTCAGATTATTACTCTTCAAGGCTTCCCTTCTGCCACATAATAACAAGGCCAGATTTCTTGGTGGGGCATTTAAGTGTGCTGCAGTCTTGTTCCAGTTTAGCTTTCTAGCTTCTGCTGCCCCCTGTACAAACATGTACACACGTTTGCTTGCTCTTTAAAACTAATCTGTGCCTTTGGGCTTTCATTTTCTTGTTCATGTTTTTCCTCCCTTGCTCTCTTAGAAACTAGAAATCCTGTATTTTTTCAAAATGTAACTTGTAATTTCTTGTGTGAATTGTCTATGAGTGTGTCTCAGTTGGAATTCATATTTGCACCTCTCTTTGTAGTCTTTTTTATAGCCTGACGTGTTCTAGGAGGTTGTGCAGCCATCTCTTTACCAGATGGGGAGCTCCTTGTGGATAGGAGTGCTGTTACTCTCATCTTTATGTTCCCAGCATCCTCTATAGAATAAGTGACGCTCAGTATTTGAGTTAAAATTTTGTTAATGTTCAGCTGCTTCAATATTCATCATATATTACTGAGTACCTCCTACTTACCAGACATTGTTTTAGGGTGCTGGAATATAGCAGGAACAAAATAGACAAAGTCCTACTGTCAAGGAGCTTATATTCTAAAACAGTACTGTCAAAAAGAACTTTCTGGGGGCGCCTGGGTGGCTCAGTTGGTTAAGCGACTGCCTTCGGCTCGGGTCATGATCCTGGAGTCCTGGGATCGAGTCCCATATCGGGCTCCCTGCTCAGCAGGGGGTCTGCCTCTCCCTCTGCCCTCTTCCCTCTCGTGCTCTCTCTCATTCTCTCTCTCTCAAAAAAAAAAAAAAAAAAACTTTCTGCATTGAGGGAAATGTTCCCTATCTGCCCAATATAGTAGTCACTAGCCACATACAACTGTTGAGCACTTGAAATGTGGCCAGTGAGACTGGGGAGCTGAGTTTTAAATTACATTTAAACTTAAATGGTCACATGTAGTCTGTGGCTACCATATTGGACAGCACAGACCTAAAACATTACTTGGAAATTTCAAACATGAATTATATGTTTGGATATCATTCACATGTTATTTTATTATAAGTGTTCAGTTTTATTTTTGTTGTACAAGCAATTTATGTATTTGTCATACTTTCTGTAGGGGTTACTACCCAAAAGGGGGTGGTGAAGTGATTGTCCGAATGTCACCAGTTAAACAGTTGAATCCAATAAATTTAACTGACCGTGGCTCTGTGACTAAGATATATGGAAGAGCTTTTGTTGCTGGTGTTTTGCCATTTAAAGTAAGTTGTCTAGAAGTGTATGTGGGTCTTGGCATTATGTCAGCTAAATTTTGAAATAATTGAAAGCACTCAATTTTTTTTGAAGATTTTATTTTTAAGTACTCTCTGTGCGCAACATGGAGGTAGAACTTAAACCCCTGAGATCAGGAGTTACATCCTCCACTCCATGGGGCATCTCAGTGGCTCAGTTGGTTAAGTGTCTGCCTTTGGCTCAGATCATGATCCCAGGGTCCTGGGATTGAGCCCCATGTCGGGCTCCCTGCTCAGTGGGGAATCTGCTTCTCTCTCTCCCTCTCTGCTCTCTCGCTCTCTCTCCAGTAAATAAATAAAATTTTTTAAAAAAGGTGCATGTTCCACTGACTGAGCCAACCAGGTGCCCCTAAAGCACTTAATTTTTTAATATATCTTTTCATTAAAATTTTTTCTTAAACATCTGTGCTCTTTACTCTTGAAAATCTAGTTTTTATATAATGCATGTGAAAGTTATTAAGTATTATATGTTTCTTTGAAGGCTTGAAAACAATTGTCGAAATAATCATTAATTTATTTTATCCTATTTTTCTGTCTTGCCAAAATAGGTAGCAAAAGATATGGCGGCGGCAGCTGTAAGATGCATCAGAAAGGAGATTAGGGATCTTTATGTTAACATCCAGCCTGTTCAGGAACCTAGAGACCAAGCCTTTGGCAATGGAAATGGAATAATGTGAGACAATACCTTTTTCCTGGATACTGATTGAGAGCTCTGAAATAATTATCCTGTTTAAGTGAAAGATTTGTAGTTTTTTTGTTGAAATATTACAGTTTTAAAAAGGCATATTTTTAAGGACATTGCTACCTAAAACAATAGTATGATGAATTAAGATGATTATTTTATGCTGAATTTTTTTTCTGAGGATGGTTTGCTTTTTATTACATTGTAAGAGTCCTCTGACTCTTAATCTAATCAGAAGTTAGCCTTTGAAGCTGATCCTGAGAGAAATATTTCCGGTTGTTTTTCTGTACCTCAAATGTGAAGTCCATTTACATGTAAATATTAGATCTGGCAAAGATCTATTTAGAGAAGAATTATATTGATTAATTATATTGATTTAAATATAAAAGTGCTTTAATTGATCTTTTGAAGTATGGGAGTATCTCCTGTGGATAAAAAGTCTCTTTTTCAGAGTTTCTATTAAAGAGTTTAAATGCATGTTCTACATTTGATAATACTATCTAAAAACTGTGAAACAAAACCATCATCTCTGTGGAAAGATCTTTCCTTTATTGAAGTATAGTTGGCACACAATGTTACATTGATTTCAGGTATATACTCTAGTGATTTGACGATATGTTATGTTTTGCTCACCCCAAGTGGAGCTCCCATCCCAGTTCCTATTACTTAGTGTGGGTCACACGTACTAGGTACTCACTATTAACTGTTATTATCAGTAGCTTATTATGAACCAGTCATGGTAACATATGCTTTATAAATATTATCTCTAATTTCTTAGAGATTAACTTTTTAATAACTTTAAGTATTGTTTAGGAAGAATTTTATGATATCAGGAAAATGCTTTTGTTTATAATGTTAAATGGAAAATGAGGATAAACGTATACGCAGTGAGATTTCAGTGTATAGAAGAATTGAGAAGGCAGGGCCTGGGTGGGTCAGTTAGTTGAGCGTCCGTCCGACTCATGATCTCAGCTCCCATCTGTCACCTTACGTATGATCCCATTACAGTACCATGGACTAGCTTCCTATGCTGGGCCTTTCATCCCTGTGACTTACTCATTCCGTAACTGGAAGCCTGGATCTCCCACTCCCTCTCGCCCATTGTGCCCATCCTCCATCCCTTCCCCTCTGGCAACCATCATTTTGTTCTGTATTTATGGGTCTGCTTGTGCTTTTTTGTTTGTTTTGTATTTTAGATTCCACATATAAGTGAAATTCTGTGGTATTTGTCTTTCTCTGACTTATTTCACTTAGCATAATACCCTCTAGGTCCATCCATGTTGTCATAAATGGCAAGATCTCATTCTTGGTTATGGCTGAGTAATACTGTATTGTGTGTATATGTACCACATCTTCTTTAGCTATTCATTTCTTGATGGACACTTGAGTTGCTCCTGGCTTTTGTAATTATTGATAGGTATGTACTTATTGCCGTTCTGTTAATTGTTTTCCGGTTGTTCTTGTAGTCCTTCTCTGTTTCTTCTTCTCTTGCTCCCCTTGTGATTGATGACTTTTGGTAGTGTTCTTTCGTTTGGTGTTTTCTTTATTTTCTGTGTATCAAAGTTTTAGTTTTGTGGTTTCCATGAGGTTCACATATAACATCCTAAGGATATAGCATATATTAAGTTGGTCACTTAAGTTCGAACACCTAGAAAAACCTTTTCATTTTAGATAATCATAAGACGTTTTATATTTTTTATTTTTATTACAGATTTATTTATTATTTTGGGGGGGAGAGGGAGGGAGAGCGTGAGGGGGGGAGGGGCAGAGGAAGAAGGAGAGAGAGATCCCAAGCAGACTCTGTGCTCAGCACAGAGCCCCATGCAGGGCTCAGTCTCATGACCCTGAGTTCATGACCTGAGCCAAACTCAAGAGTCGGATGCTCAACTGACTGAGCCACCCAGGCACCCATCATAAAATACTTTATAGTATAGTAGAAATGGTATCAAAAGTTCAAGGAGAGCCATTCCTTACCTGTGAATGGATTAGAATCTAGTGTGACTTCTTGTCGGAAGTGCTGAAGGATACTGATACCCTGATGAAGTTGGAGAATGCTAATCATGCCGCTCTCTGTATAAAGAATTTCACTTTTGCAATTTACTAGATAGATCTGATTCTGTATACTTTTTTTTTTTTTTAAAGATTTTATTTATTTATTTGACAGAGACAGACACAGCAAGAGAGGGATCACAAGCAGGGGGAGTGGGAGAGGGAGAAGCAGGCCTCCTGCCGACCAGGGAGCCCGATGCGGGACTAGATCCCAGGACTCTGGGATCATGACCTGAGCCGAAGGCAGACGCTTAATGACTGAGCCACCCCGGCGCCCTGATTCTGCATACTTAATAATCACTATTCCACTGTATTGTTTTTGCATATAATTTTAGAATATAGCATAGATAATAATGCTTATTTTTTCCTATATAGCATTATTGCTGAGACATCCACCGGCTGTTTGTTTGCTGGATCATCGCTTGGTAAACGAGGTACAGATAAATGACAGGGGTCCACAACTTCCAGTGCTGGTGTAAAATTTTTTAATTATCTGTTAGGATTAGAATGTTATAGCATGATAGATGATAAGTGTGAAAGGATATGGTTAACTGATTGTTTTAGAGTCAGTTAAATTTTCAGTCTTTCTCCCAGCTTTATACTTTGAAAAATTTCAAAGTTACAGAAAAGTCGAATGACTAATGAACATCCATCCACTGTTCTCCAAGATTTACCAGTAGTGAACTTTTAGCTATAAGTTTGTGTGTTTCTTAACTATTTCAATGTAAGTTGCAGATACCGTTTCTCACCCTTGAATACTGCAGCACGGATGTCCAAAGAGCAATATCTGTGTAATCACAATACCATTTTTATACCCAGAGAATTTGTCTGTTTATATTCATACATAACCAGTTGCCTCCAAAATATTTTTTAGAGCAGTGGTTTTTGTTTTGTTTTGTTTTTAGCACTTAACAGCAATTGGTCATGTCTGTTTAATTTCTTCTCTACTACAGAATAGTTTCACCTTTTTTTTCTTTCATGATACTAACATTTTGAAAAGTCTCAGGCCATTTTCTCATAGGATTTCCCACAATTTGGATTTGTCTGATTGTCTCATGATTAGATATATTCAGGTGAAACATTTTTAGTAGGAATAGCTGACTGTGGACATTCCATTTTATCACAACAGGGTTGGTGATAATGTCAATTTGTCCTTTATTGGTAAAGCTGACTATGATCACTTGGTTAAAGTAGTGTCCTCCAGGTCTGTCTGCTATAAATCCTTTCCCTTTTTATAAGTAATAAGTCATCTGGTATAATACTTTGAGACCATCTGATTATCTTATTCCTATACAGCTTTCATCCAGTGGTTTTAGTGTCTGTTGGTGATTCTTCCCTGTATCAGTTATTACATTGGTGATTTAAAAAAACAATATTTTTGTGAAACGGAAGTGTAGGTAAGATTTAGTATATTTGGGAGAGGAGATACGTGTATACATCTAATTGTAATATTTGAAGTTACTTTTGCCATTGAGGTGACTTCTAGTTGGACTTCTTGTTGTTTGTGTGGTAGTTGATTGCTTTATTCCTACTTTGTAGATCTTTAAAAGATGCTTACCCTTGCTGTTCTGTTTAATCACATTTATTACTGCTGAAAATAAAAAATTTCAGGTAATCCTAGTCTGCTCACTTGGTAGATGTAGATACTAGCTGGGTATCAGATCTTTTTTTTTTTTTTT